CATATCCCTAATTAAAATGCCTAATATTTAAAATAAAATAAAAATATGATTTTAAATATTTATAAATATAAAATAAATTATAGATAAAATATAATAATGAAAATTTATATTATAACGCTATAGAATATATTTAATTAAAAAATATTTTAGCGATTCAATGAGAAATTTTGTTATTTTTAGTTGTTGTTTTGGACTATTTTTTTGTGTGTGTGCACTGTTTTGGACTTTTTTTTTTTTTTTTTTTTGTAAATTTTGGTGCATCAATTTTCGTAAACTTTTTAAAGTGATGATACAAGTCATCATGACCATGAGGCAACACCTTGTTGGCATTAATTTGCTGTTGTTCTTCATGAAACTTAACTAATTGGACTTTGGCCCCTTATTAAGAGGGTTGGCGGTGTGTTACACGTAGAAAGAGGCATAGATGTATGGGTTTTGAGAGTTTGACTAAGTTTTAAACTTAGGTTACACGCTTGGGATGCAAACCCTAGGTCAGGGCACAGACAAAAATGGTTCCAACCGAGGGCTAGATTTTGGGGAGCTTCACTGAATTTGGAGTCCCAAGTTTGCCATTTGACTCGCTGAAATTTTTCATTAATTAGTGGTACGGCATTTGCCATCCAACAAGTAGACATATTTGGCAAAACTAAGCGTAAATAATTGGAGTAAATAACCTAAGTAGAATTAGGTGTGGTGTCTTATATTAGATTTAGACCCTTTTTTAGTTCCATTGTCGAAACCTATTTGGTTTTACTATAAGCAAGAAATTGAGAAATCCCATACTCTTCATATTCCCAAAGCCTACAAAAATAGAGGATTTTGCCTTTCATAAGTCCTATTCCCAAAACACCCACATCAACCCCACAATACACAACTTCTTCACTACTACTCATATGAATCATGATGTACTTCTATGCATATACTTATATAATATAAAGGACGGCCACTTGACCTGCAAATATTCATAACAATGCCGTTTACACGTCTCTTAGTATAAAACTATAAATCCTTTGTGCGACTTTTTCTTTTCGCATTTATACTAATGTGTTTTATCACATAAACTCTTATAAAGAAATTAATCTATACATCTTTCCGAGAATAGTATGCCAATGTAATTTAGGAAATTTGAATTTATTTAAGTAAATTTTTTATTTACGTCTTAGAAGTCTGTATTCTGTTCTATTTTTTCTAAACTTGTCTTAATTCAAGCTGATTTAATTAAGTCGTTTGAGTGAGCTAATAATGAACTTCAATAATTTTTTTTTTTTAAATCATAAGTTAAAAACTTTTGGGGGTATTGTAACAAAAAAAGTTGGTCAATATATATATATATATATATATATATATATATATATAGGTGTAAATAGACTAGGCTTTGGCTTAAACAGGCCAGGCCTATGTAAAAAATTAGATGTGGCCTGGCCTATTAACCTGTGCAGGCCTAAAATTACAAGTCTTGTCTGACCTATATTTAAAAAATAAAAGCCTTTGCCTAGACTTGTTAGCCTGTTTAAGCCTATTAAACATTCAACAATTAAAAGAATAACTAAAATAATATTATTTTATTATTCAAAATTATCAAAATAATAGTTTTATTTATTATATTTTAAATAAATAATATGATATAGGCCGACCTGTAGGTTTATAGGCCTGATATGTACAAAAAAGTCTATGACCTATTTTCTAAATAGGTCTTTTTAAAAGTCTAGGCCTGTTCTATTTTACTATTTATAATAGGCTAAGCCTGACCTAATATAGGCTAAGCTGTAGGCTCTTGTAGGTCAACCTAACTCATTTACACCCCTAAATATATATACTAGCCACTTATTGGCATAGTCTAGTCGAGTTATATATCAGTTATTAGGTTTGCAATCCAAACATTTAGTTGAAAGCATTTTCACGTTGAGCTCTCAATTTAGTAATATTGTATGTGTCTGGCTACATAAAATCATGGTGAGAATAATCGATTCTAGGTTGTAAAGCTCTGATTTTTCAGATAATCATAAATTTTGGCTTTGCTAGTGAATAGAATTCATTTTAGTTGTGAGGTTTATACAGCTTTCAAATTTATACCGACGATTACATTTCAAAAGTGATTATCTTTTATCATCCAAATAAAATTCCTTTTATAATTAACTTTTAAAATATCGTTCTCAAACACAAATAAATTATTTTAATATCAATTCGTCAAAAAACAATTATACCAAAGTGTAAACTAAACGGAGCATAATAATCTCTACAATAAATTATCATTTTTCAAGCCATGAATCATAGGAAAAGAACAAACCTGATAATACAAAGTTTGAAAGAGCCATGTATATTAAGTGAAATATGGGGATTTCAAATAAATAAAAACAACTTGTGATGAAATTTATCTTTATAACCTATAACCAATTTGTGTAGCTATAAACCTATAACTTAGTAAAAAAAATAACTGCAAATTGTAACCATAATAAAACTTCGACAATCTTGATCCTTGTTTGGTCATTAAGTGATACAAAATATATGGAAGAAATGCTCTACGTTATGGCATATGGGGCAAAGTTTAAAAGTTCAAATTTTGATTTGTACAAAATCCGCTTTTTCAACATTTATTATTATTACTAATGACATTTTTTAATATTAATTGAAGACCGTATAACCGATGTTAGTATCTCCTACGTTTTTGATAAAGCCTACAATATTCAATTTTGGTAGGTAAAACCTTTGAATTCCGAAGATAGAGTACCCTCAATATGTGCACCTTTACAAATTTATTATTAATGATATTAGGTCACATGATTATAAGAGCTTTGGCTTCTTTTCCAATATATGATTTCCTTTATCTTGAACTGTGAGTTTATTTTCATGCTTGTCACAGTTATTTCTGTAATGCCATGTAGAGATGTATCATATCCCATGTTGCATAAAAAAAAATCCTTCCAAAGCAACTTTGGCTGTAATGCAATAAGGGGGGATATATACAATATGCACGTGCAAAAAAAATCCTACATGTCTTTAATTTGTAATATGTTTAAATAGTTAATCAAATGTTATTTTAAATAATTATTATTCAGAAATAATATTAATATGCGCATCCTAGAAAATTTACACCATTCCTTTTTTGACTTTTAAAATAAGAAAAACACACATTCTAACAAACGCACACAAACACTCTTTTTTATTACTATTATTTTTGGAAAACAAGTAAATTAAGTATAAAAATAATGTAAAATTATTTTCGTGTGCAAATACATCCGTCATTATTGTTCAAGCCTTCAAGGTAAAGCCTTTAAATAATTATGCCTTGATAGCGCAAATGGAAAACTTAAACTTAAAAGAAACCATCCCCTAAAAACAAATCACCCCGGCCCTCTTATAGTCAATATTAGAAAACGAAATACCAAATCTGATATTTAGATCATAAACCATTTTTTTTATTTTTTATTTTGGATAGGCTAGACTAACAACTTGGTGGTATAAAGTTTTAAAAATAGAAAAAATTTATAATGTATTTTTTAAACAAATCATCTGAAGTTATCAGAAAGTGGGGGAAAAACTCCGCATATTAGTATCGGTAAAGGTGAGTGTATGTTGAAAAAAACACCCCTAATTGATTTTCTTTTATACCAATCTTAATTATTTTTTTTAGGCAAATAGACTCTTTCGGATATTTCTATAAGTTTCGGTTCTTTGAATCGGCTATGGAACTAATCTCAAGTGTGATCGATGCGAGTCCGGGATTAAGATCTTATGCCCCCTAATCATTTTATTTTTTTTGGATATCAAAATTAAGATCTTATTTCCTCAATCAAAATTTTAGATCAGATTAAAGGTGAAAATTGAGTGTGTGTTGAAATTAGCTCAAAAATAATATTATTATTTTTCAAGTTTTTGAGAGAAACAAGGTCAAATACCTGCGAAGCACACCATGTTGCAGTTAAGTTTTAGCTATGTTAGATACACTGATAGTAGTAAACAAATGGCTTAAGTTAAGATTAATAATTTAATATAATGTTTCTATATGGGCAAAGCGGTCCCCTCAACCATATTAGACTTTAATCGCACGTCCACTTGTTTTTATTTGAAATTTGACATTAACATCATTTTATTATTATTATTGAACTGATTCAACCTGGCAAAATCAGTGGAATAGAAGCTCTAGGGAATGGAATAGAAACTGAATTTTCGGATTCTGAGAAACCTTCAATAATATAATGCTAAGTGAGTCTAACTGGAATTCGCTGGTTGAATTATAAATTTCAGCTAAATCTTGGAATCTGGTTCACCCCCACGTTTCCAAATGATATTTCAAAGTTTCAAACACTAAATTATATAAATATCATTACTTACTTGGAACTTTAATATGATGTCTTGGCTTGTAGTGGATAGACCTAAACATTAAAGGGTAATTAAATATAAGATCATAATCCCCTGAAGCTGCAAATTTGTCAGTTTATTGAGATTCTACCATTTAGGTCATAGTCTCATAGACAAATCACTGAAAAAAAGGGTTACAAAGTACAAGTAAGAAACACTATAGTATAAAATCTCTTAATCTATTCTCTTCTTGACTTAAATACTTAATGGCTTTAATTTCTTTCTTGGTAGTTGTTCAATTTTAAGAGTCTTGCCTTTTGCTTGTTCTTAAGAATCAAACCTAAAACACACACTCCTTTAAAAGTCACCAGAAAAGACGGCTAATCCTTCGGAGGCAGACCCCTTCTCAGGAAGCATATAATGGCTTCAAATTAAGTGGACTTCACTCTCACCTTCCTCTTCTTTTCTCTTTCAAGTTTTTCAATATTTTCATGCACTTCTTTTAGGGTTGTTATGTTCTTATTCTTCAAAACTTTTAGCCATCTCTTTGAAAGCAGCTTCCACTTTTGTTTTTGTTTTTTGTTTTTTCTAACTGGTTTTGGTTAAAAAATCTGTCGGAGTCACAACAAAGGAAATCTCTCTTTTTTCTCCATATTGAAGAGGGTTAGGCTTTATATTTCTAGAAGAAAATAGGTTGAGATATGGAAGAGAGAAATGATGTTGAGAAACTTGATGAAGTTATGTTACCAGGGTTTAGGTTTCATCCAACTGATGAGGAGCTTGTTGGGTTCTATCTCAAGAGAAAAATTCAACAGAGGCCTTTGTCTATTGAGCTCATCAAGCAGCTTGATATCTATAAATATGATCCTTGGGATCTTCCAAGTAAGACATATATATATATATATATATATCTGGCTTGGTTCATATATAAAACCTCTTATAAGCACTTCTTTCAACTTGAACTTAGCACTTTTTTCTTTTGTTAATTAAGGGTCTCTAATGGTATCTAACAAGGTTTTGTTTTTTCGTTAATGATTATAATGTGTGCAGAGTTGGCCAGTACAGGAGAGAAAGAGTGGTATTTCTACTGTCCAAGAGACAGAAAATACAGAAACAGTGCAAGGCCTAATAGGGTAACTGGAGCAGGGTTCTGGAAAGCTACAGGGACTGATAGGCCTATTTACTCCTCAGAAGGTTCCAAGTGTATTGGCCTTAAGAAATCCTTAGTCTTTTACAAAGGCAGAGCTGCCAAAGGAGTAAAAACTGATTGGATGATGCATGAGTTCAGGTTACCTTCTCTCACTGACTCACTATCCCCAAAGAAGTTCATAGACAAGACCATTCCAGTTAATGTGAGTAAAACTTACATATCCAAACTTTTATTTTCTTATATATCAAAGCTATAAATTTTAATTAACTTTTTTTTATTTTTTGAACTTTCAGGAATCTTGGGCAATCTGCAGGATATTCAAGAAAACCAATTCTACAGCTCAGAGAGCTGTGTCACACTCTTGGGTCTCTTCAATACCTGAAACAAGAACCTCTGATATGCTAACCCAAAATCAGGAAATCACCCAGTTTTGTTCAGGCAACATGCCATTGACAAAGAAAACTAGCTTAGCCAACCAGTTCTGTATTAACAACTGTGATATCCAACACTTAACCACTAATAGTAGTACTCTTTGTCCTTTAGATATTGCCTCTTATAAATCCATTATTAACCCGTTGCTTTACAAAGCCTTTGATCATTTGCCAATACCTAATAATGGAGACCTTAGCACTAGCATGATATTCTCATCTCCACTTGAAACATGTAATACTAATGCAAAATCCACAATGGATATTTCATCCATGTTGTTGAATATGTCATCCTCAGTGCTTGGAGATTTTAGTAAGACCAATGAGGACACAACTACAAACTATGGTGGTGGGTTGCAAGAGCACTGTAATAGCTATCCAATTCCATTTCTACGTGAGATGCAAGCCACATTTGGAAACCAATATGATAATGCATTGGTAAAGGTAGCTAATGTGAACATGCCTCGTGTTGATGACCAAGAGTTGGAGACAGTAGTACCATCCATTGGTTTTCCTTTCAATATTGGCGATGCATGGAAGTCAAATCTGCTTTGGGATGATTCATCTTGTCCTTGTGATGTGCCCTCTAGTTATTCCACAACCAAGTGCTATACTTAAGTACATTTTAGAAGCCTTTGTTTTAATAGCTTCTAGTAGGCAGTAACTAGTGACTCTGACTTTTTAACTTAGATTTCTGTTCAATTTACATTAGCACGTGCATGGGATTTTTTCTTTTTCTTTTTAGGTTATTACTTTGAAAAGTTTATGTAGCTTGATGCAATATGTGAACTCAAATGTCTATGGAATAGAAATCTGATAGCAATGCTACTGCAGACCTCATTTTCAGACTTGTACACACAGATTGACCCTAACCGGCCATTTTGAGGTATTGCGTGTATTATCAAAGTGCGAATATCTAAGCACTTACTAACGTTAACACACTTCTAAGATACATAATGAAAACGATGTAATTAATTATTAATGTATGATAAGGAAATTTTCAGAAATCGTATATAATATATACATAGGTTTACATTTCTATAGATATCGTACGTGCAGCAATCAAATACTTGCCATATATATACTTGAAAGCATTAAATGCGGGGAATCATAACTATACAAAAGATGAAAGTATTAAATGTGGAAATCATAATCATACATTTGTCCTTGTTGTACGTAAAACGGATATAGAAATGATTTTACTATATATATATATATATATATATATATATATATATATATATATATATATGGAAAAAGCTATTCTCATGTTACATGAGATAAGTTTTCTCTCCTACACACCCTTGATATAACTGTGCCACCTTTTTCTTTTATTTTTATTTTATTTTTTCAGGTGGTGGAGCTCACAAGTTTATCTCTATGACATGATATAACTTATCTTCTTTAACATGAGATTAATAAAATCATATATATGAGGTAGGATCCTTTGACACCAGTGTCAAATTTCAAATTTGACACCTCATCTGAGAGCCGTTAGATCAAAAAAGATCAATTGTGTCACATGTTTACAAATTATGTGACACTGGTGTCAAAGGATCCTACCTCATATATATATATATATAGGGGTTTATTAATCTTATGTTACATGAGAGTACTATCTCATGTGGGTGATACAAATATGTGGGGTCCACAATTTAAAATGAAAAGAAAAAAGAAAAGAAAAAATTGGCACAAAATTCTATGAGTGTATAACATGAGATAGGTATCTTATGTTGCATGAGAGTATCATTTCCCATATATATATATATATATGGTTGTGAGTAATCGTATAATTGTTTTAATGACTTGCTGATTTGTGTTTTATTTATTTTTTAACCATTAGTGCCAGATCTTTTTTATTAGAATAATAAATGTACTAAGATTTTATGTCTCTTAATTTTCTCCTTGAATTTTATTTTATGCACAAAGTTACATACTGTATAACTATATAAAGACATGATTCTTAGGTTGTTTTATAGAAATTTAATTTGAAGGAAATGAAGTTAAGCGGTTGCCGAATATTAAAGGAATAGCTGACATGTCAGGAGCCCCAAATTTAAAGTAACTGCATCTAATGGTTCTTACTTGTGGCATCAACTTAACGTCTCTTAAATATGTGTCCTTCCATTTAATATATATATATATAGAGAGAGTTTATACCTCTGGTGCTGTTTGACCGGAATTTTTTAAATGGTCCAAGACTATATCAATAAATCATAGTCCCTTTAAATCCTTATTTTATCCCTTTTACATATCACAAGGACCAAGTAGTCCTGGACCATGGAAAGAGATCTCTTGCTAGATAACAAAAATATCTCATGTTCTCACTTCAATTTCTGCTCTCAACCTTTCTTTTAAAAAAAAATGGATAGGGCCCACAGAAGTTGTATCTGCCGCATAAGAAGGCATTTCTTATGTGAAAGGAGAAGTATATATATATATATAAAAGATTCCTCATTTTTATTGTTGCTTGGAAAAGCTGCAACAAATATATTTATACTAAGATACAGAATTAGATCGTGGAATAAAAAAAAATCCAGAATACATAATCAGATCCTGATGAAAATATGTGTTGTTGCAAATTTTCTGATATGTAGCAACAACTGAGCTATTAAAGCCACACACACACACACACACACACACACACACATATATATATGAGGTAGGATCCTTTGACACCAGTGTCAAATTTGAAGTTTGACACCTCATCTGATAGCCGTTAGATCAAAAAATATCAAAGGTGTCACATGCTTACAAATCTGAGTCGTTGATCTTTTTGGATTTAATGACTATCAGATGAGGTGTCAAATTTTAAATTTGACACTGGTGTCAAAGGATCTTACTTATATATATATATATATATATATATATATATATATATATATATATGTATATATATCTTTATATATATATGTGTATATATATCCTAAGAGTTTTCCGAGAATTTAGAGAAGATGGAAAATATAAGATACAATAACAACTTAGTCACTACTTAATCACTCTTTGAAAATGGGGAAGTGCTAATTCTTTTAAATTGGAATCCTGTAAGGAGAAAATTATCAAGTGCCTAGTGACCCACCAGAGATAGGTCTTTATCTTGTTTGACAATTGATACTGCTGACTTACATATTTGAACCAAAATAACAATGCATAATAAGAGGGAGTGTGTCTTTTGTTTTTTTAAGTAAGAAAAAGGGGTACTAGCCCATAACACAAAAAAAAACTAATTACTAACAGCCCCAGCATCTTGAGCTAACAACCACTCAAGTCTAACAGGAGGTTCTAGGTGCATAACCAAAACATCATCAAGATTACAAGAAAAATGTGCTAGAAAATCTGCACATCTATTCGCCTTTCTTCGAACCGCAACAAGTTTTATCTCCCAATTCAAATTCAGCCAGTTTCTAATGCTCTTGACTAGCTGAGCATCGTCCCCATTGTCTTCCCCTTCCTCTATAGCTCCCATAGCTAATGAGGAGTCACCTTCCACAATCAGTTTCCTAGCTCCACATTTCCAAGCCACTCTCAATCCTTTGTAAATCGCCCAGAGTTCCGCTTTCAGTGGTGTAAAGACACCTATTTTGTATGTGAACCCTTTCACCCACTTCCATTTTTTTATCTCTAATGAGGCCCCCACACGTTGCATTGTTAGAAACTTTCTCCACTGCTCCATCAATGTTCATCTTCCACCATCCATTCGCAGGAGCCGACCATCTATCCCTCGACTCCACTTCAGTATTGGAATTACTAACATCATATTCCTCCCTGACACTTTTAATTTCTAAGATTTATTTTGAAATAACTTGGATGAGATTATAAGGTCTAGAGTAATTTGGGTCATGAACCTCACCATTCCTCCAAAACCATAGTTTCCATATAGTTGTTATAAACACATCCTTCCACTCCAAAACCTGATTATGCTTCCACCCTCCTAGCAGATTCTTCCTGATCCACTCGTTTACATCTAACGAGAAGAAGTCAGTTCTTAAAGCACCTACCAGCCATGTTTCCCAAATTGCTTTAGCGTTCCTGCAATCCCTAAACACATGAATAATGTCCTCTATCACTGATCCACATACATGACAGTATGGCATCCCTCCCCATTTAGCAGTGAATTCTTTGGTCAGTATTCTTCCCTTCAAGTTGACCATCTATCACTGATCCACATACATGACAGTATGGCATCCCTCAACACATGAATAATGTCCTCTATCACCTTTCTATTTCCAAATGACTCTCCAAATTGGGTCACTCATCAGTCTATCAAAACCCATGATGTTGTTGTATGTCTTTTTAACCATTTGACTCACACCAACACTGTCTTTTTGTATCAGTTGATCCTTTCCTCTGTCAACTGCAGGCGGAAGAATGGATCTTATATGTTGTACCACCTCCTCCTGAAGGTTCTTCCTTAACAACTCCAAATTCCACTCCCCAGAATTCTCCTTTACCATTTCTGAACTCTTCATCAACAAGTCTATGTTATCCAAGGGGCTAATGGTGAATTCTCTCAATGGTTTCTGCAAACTGGTCCATGGATCCTGCCAGAAAAGAATGCTCTCTCCATCTCCAGTGTCCCACTGTAATGAATGCAAGAATTCCTTCCAGATGGCCACTAACCCTTTCCATAAAGAGGAGTCATAGCCGATAGCCTTTGTTTCTCTCCTCAGATCCATATTCCTTCCATACTTACCTTTGATAACCTGAACCCAAAGCTCTCCATTATTGTTTAACAGCTTCCAGGCAATTTTAAAAAGAAAGGCCTTATTATGTGCCTGAAGATTCGTTATTCTTAGTCCCCCATTAGTCCTTGAATGGTAGAGAACCTCCCAATTAATCAGATAAGTCCTTCTTTTCATAACTGTATCTCCCCATATAAAACCCCTCTGCATTTTTTTCCATTTCCTTACAAATAGAAGCTGGGATGATATCATACTGCATGTGATACGCAGGAATAACACTTATTACTGACTTAGCCAATGTAGTCCTCCCAGCAAATGACAGCAACTGCCTTTACAGCCAGCTAGATGCTGTATAACTTTGAGAATAACACTATCAAATTTCCTTCTTCTTCCTCTACCATGGTATAGCTGGGCCCCAAGATATCTTCCAAGAGATTCAGCATTTCTGAACCCACTCGCTTGAATAACCTCTTTCTTGATGGATGGGTTAGTATTCCTTGACAAGTATATGATGGTTTTTTCAATACTCACTGCTTGTCCAGACATCTCACAAAATCTATTCAGACAATCTAACATTATCTTCATCTGCTCAAGAGAGGCTTCTCCGAATAGCACTAGATTATCAGCAAACATAAGATGAGATATTAAGGGCCCATTCCTACCTGCCTTCATAGCTATCCAATTCTTTTTCCTAGTTTCCTCTGCAATCAAGTGGGATAATTTATCCATACATAGTACAAATAAATAAGGAGAAATTGGGCCTCCTTGCCTAATCCCCCTAGAAGTAGAGAAGCTACCCAACTTGGACCCATTCCACAAAATATTAAAGGAAGGAGAGGCTATACACTCCTTGATCATATTCATCAGATAGCTTGGGATACCTGCCTCCCTTAACACAACTTCCACAAAGCTCCAGCTTAGACGGTCATAAGCCTTAATTAGATCTATCTTGATAGGCATAAACGCTTTTTTACCTCTCATTCTGTTCATAGCATGTGTCATCTCCTGCGCAATGATTACGTTATCATGCATGTTCCTTCCTGGAACAAAACTTGTTTGAAAAGGTGACACCAACTTGTTCATAACTGGCTTCAATCTGTTCACTATTATCTTTGTGACTGCCTTGTATAGCGCGTTGCACAGAGAGATGGGCCTAAATTGCCCTATATTCTCTGGAATATCAATCTTAGGTATGAGAACCATAAGAGTATCATTTATGTTTGTTATCATTTTCGGATTCTCAAAAATCATTTCCACATCTTCACACACTTTCCCAGCTATCAACTCCCAATTCCTCTGATAGAACTCTGTTGGAAATCCATCAGGTCCTGGGGCTTTATGAGCACCTAGTTGGAAGAAAGCATTCTTAATTTTCCCTTTGGCAATGGGACTCCTAAGTTTCCTAATTTCCTTCTCTTCTATCCTCGGCCATCCACCAGGTGAAGGTTCCCACTTCCGATGGTGATTTGTCTCCTTAAATAACTTCTTATAAAACTCTGAAACCAACTCCTTCAAACTTACTTCATGTCTCACCGATCCCCCGTTATCATTCCTCAAGGCCTCCACTTTATTAGTGGGAGTGTGTCTTTACAAAAAGAAAAGGTTTCAGTTAGATATTATCAATTTATCATGGCAGAGAGTGGTGGTGTTGGTTGAAAGAAAATTATATTCAAAAATAATATATAGAAAATTTCATATTGAGTTCGCATATTATTAAATTATATATGAATATGAATTCGTGTGAATCTTAATGAATTTATATTTAGATCAAATAATGTGAAAATAGGATATTATTTTTTGTATGTCTAGTAATTGGTGTAGGATATTGCTCATTTCGTAATGGGATTTGAGATTATATTTCAGTGACAAATATATGTGTATAGATGAACACAAACGATGCGGAAATCAACTTCGTTCAACTTTTAACACAGTCTATTATATTTTGATTGATTTTGTCTAAAATGCCGTAGCTCCATCATATTTCTGATAAAAAAATAAAATAAAAAGACAGTTCAGCTTTCTCAAAATTGTGTGGCGTTATAATTTCTTTTCTAATTTTTTCTATCTTTCCATTCCATTGTAGAAAGAAAAATATAAGAAATGCAATCCACCAAAAAAAAAATTATACACATAAGAAATGCAAAGAGGATCAGACTCTATCTTACAAAAGCCCCAAAATAACCAAGCACAAATAAACTAAGAGATTCCAAAAGATTCATATGCATATCTTTACTACGCAATCAAGCACAAAGCACACTGATTAGCCTAATTGTATATATGCAGTAAGTTTTTTTTTTTCTTTTTGTTAATACATATGCAGTAAGTTTTTAATTAAAGACAATTGTCATTTACTGAAACTTTTCATGTTTGCATTTTCCTTACATTAAAAAAAAGGCAACTTAATACAAACTGTTGGACTGGGATTTAAGAAAGGTTTTAATTTTAATTTTCAAGACAAAAAAAATATACTTTTTATATGACATAGTCATATTAAAAGGCTTATCAACAAGTTAGGCAACTGTTTATATATATATATATATATATATATATATATATATATATATATATATATATGGTTTATGTTTTCTTTTGTTACATAAGAGAATAATTTTCCCTACAGACACATAAATAGTTCCAAATTAGCTTTTTACTTATTATTTTTTAATTTCAAGTGGATCCCACATTGAAAATTGTATCTACAGTTGGAGATATGTTTTCTTATATGACATAAGAAAACATAAACCATATATATCTTGGGTTCGTTTTTTCTAAAGTTACTTTAGACAACTTTATCTAATATTCGCCGAAACGACGTTGTTTTGGGGTGGAAATCATAGCGTATTTGTAATTTCAATTTATTTCAGGGTTATAATAGTCTTTATTATTCTAATTTTTTAAATTTTCAACCTCAAAACGACGTCGTTTTGGCGAACATTAGACAAAATTATCTAAAGTAACATTAGATATTTTTTTCCCATATATCTTTGTGTGTATGTGTTTTTTGGACCATATGCAGTTGGATTACCAGTTGTACAAATTTTTTTGACTATTTTTGGATTACCAACACACTAAAAAAATATACTGAAATAATGCGCATGAAGGTTATAAAACCCCACAACGCAAGAGGGCAAAACAAATATACATCAATACTTTAAAAATTCTGAGATGTCGTACTTGACATTTTCGACATTTCAACACGCAATGCAAAGACTTAAAAGAAATTCAAACATCACGCTGCATTTTTAGTTCTAACTATTAAATTCGTTAAATTACAATTACCATTTTATTGAGTTTAATATAAATATTTGAGATATCTTATATGTCTTTACAAAATTAATGGATATTATAAGTTTAACTTCATTTTTTTATTAAATTATTGAACATTAAATATAATATACATTACATATATTAAAAATATTATTTAATATCAAAACATGTCCTAACATATCAAAATTTAATATTTTTTAAAATTAACATGTGAAAATATTATATCACGTGTCATATCCCATATTGATATCTTTGCAACATAGATAACCATGAATAAAAACCTCTCAGCCAATGGACGAGAAAAGTAGCGAAGTTGTGTTAGACGGGTCATGGGCTACTCCTTAGGATGTGTTTGGTACAAGAGAAATTTTTTGGTATCCAAGAATCACGATTAATGGGAATACAATAAAAATTGAGTTTACTTGGAATCTTACGAAAAATGTGTATGGTTCGCCAAAATATTACCGGGAATATTGGATAAAGATTACTGATTCCATGTTTGGTTTAGAACGAAATATGACTTGGAATATGAGGTTATTTTACAAAAATAACCCCAAACTATTTTTACTTTTGTAATTGATAGATTGGGTCTAGTTTTTATGTGTGTTGGGGTATTTTTGTCTCAAAAATTATTGTTGTGCTTTCCTTTTACTTGGTATTCTGAATTACCATATTATTTTTGATAATCTGAATAGTGATTTTTCTTTATAAATCAAACTACCAGTAATCCTTGAATATCCGAGAATTAATTTTTGTTCCTTCTACCAAATATGGTAATTGAGTTTACCAAAGAATCCTTTTAGAATACTTGTACCAAATATACCTTAGTGACCCATGGTTGCACTAACCGTGAAGGGTATATACCAACAAATACGTGGATAAAGATTTGAGAAACAAAAGCGAGTTACTCGTACAGGTTACAGCATAATCCTGTCCACAAAAAGGTTTCACCGTTTCAGTACTATTGCACAAAAGAAAGCCAATTTCTGAGTCACCAGTCATTCGAGTACATCGATGAGGTTTGGTTTGGTACCACAATCCAATATTGTTGCTAGAGGGTCCTTATCAGAGGGCCAAACTCCGTTTCTGGGCCAACTACTTGGATCAGAAAGTACATCATTGTCATTATTTGTTCCCTCTTCTTTACGGAAAAAAAAAAAACTCCTAAGGGACGTTTGATACACGATATTATCGGATAAAAAATTATATTTCTAAAAATCAAAATTTCCGGATAAAATTTTTTTTTTCCTCTGCCAAACACAATATCACGAGTCCTCTCATGATCCATCGATTTAAATGCAATTTTTTTTTTAACTAGTGTAAAGCTCACAACAAATTAAGCCATAAAAAAAACCATTCTAATACAAGAAGAAAAAATCAAGGCCTTTTTTTTATACATGCATCACAGTATCAACTGTGATAATGAATTAATGACTAATATGTTAATAAGTTAACGTGGATTTTGCTAATGTTCAGATCATTCCTGGTTCCTATCCCATCCGTCAATCAATAGGGGAAGATTAAAAGCAATTGAAGACAAGGATGAGATGCTAAGGGTGTTTGAACAAGGGGCAACGAAGATTTTCATCAGCAAATCCTTTTCTTCAACGGCGAAACATTAGGACTACTTGACATTGTGGTGAGTGCAAATTGTTGCACCTGCAAAGCATTTCAGTAAGCCTATAAACATAGGTCATTGCACCCAAGAAAAACCCGTGTTTTTCATGTGGGTTAATGCCCTGCAGGAACATCCTCTGATGAAGGAGACACTGCCTCCTCATGACATGTCAGTTGGTGGCCAAGATGAAAGGCACGATTGTTCCCTAAAATTTGATCTTGGAACTTGAACTTTAAGCACTAAACATGAATACTTATAAATAAAGCCTTCGAATGCTGCTAAATAAAGTGCGAACGTAATCCTTCGTGATTTGCTCGTTGCAGTGCATTAGAAGTTTTTTCTTAGGTTTACAAATAAAAGGTTGCTTTTTATTTGTCCGTATAAATTGAGAGAAATATTATTCTTCTATTACATAAGATAACTTCTCTCATGTTCTCTCACTTCGATTTTCGAACCTATTTTTTTTCTTGTAATTATGGAACCACTCATTTTCTCTCTACAACATAAGATAACTATCTTACGTGAAAGGAAACTAATAAAGCCCATAAATTGATCCTTGCCCTAAAAGGTTGCTTTTTATTTGTCCGTATAAATTGAGAGAAATATTACTCTTCTATTACATAAGATAACTTCTCTCATGTTCTCTTACTTCGATTTTCGAACCTATTTTTTTTCTTGTAATTATGGAACCACTCATTTTCTCTCTACAACATAAGATAACTATCTTACGTGAAAGGAAACTAATAAAGCCCATAAATTGATCCTTGCCCAAAGACACCCACCAGTAAAGCAGGTCAGAATTTAGAGATATCCCAATCGCAGTGAAATTACAGGTACTATTTTTAACAGGATATGTTTTTTTCACGTTGCATGAGACAAATTGTCTCACGCAACACACAAAAAAGTGAGGAGGACCCATTTTTTCCCTTTCTCTCTCTTCTTCCTAGTGGGTCCCACTCACTTTTTTATGTGTTGCATGAAACAACTTGTCTCATGCAAGATGAGACAAACATTTCCCATTTTTAACATATAGAAGCCAGATGAAGCCAATAAACACCATCAAAAGATAATAGGGGCAAGCAAACTGTATCACAATGGAATTGTCGACAAATATAACAATTGCTCTAAAATGAGTTCAAAAAAGAACAATTAACATGTGAACAACTCTAATTAAATGTGATTGACTATAATCACAGTTTAAAAGTACTCCAAAAATATCTTTTATCTCATGCTGTCGTCAAAGTTCATGCTTTTGAGACCTGCTTTTCCTTTGCCTTCTGGATCTTCAAGACCTTTTTCACAATCTTTTGCTCTTCAACCAAGAAAGCACGAATAATCCTATATAACCAGAGAAAATTATAAGCAAGATACTCTACCAATCTACCCAAAAATAAATTATATTCGTCAAAAAATTGAGTAGAACAAACCTTTCCCTGACAGCCCCTCCGGACAAAACTCCACCATACGCCCGGTTCACAGTCCTACGGTTTCTAGGTAACCTTGATCTCTTGTATTGTGCTGGCCGTAAGTGTGGAATCTGCAATTGTCAAGCATAAATTACAGCATTAACTTTCTAAGCTGAAACTTGAAACAACACCTACTGCAAAGAAATGACATTCAACAATATATATTTAAACCTTGGGATACACCACCCCAAAAGTTAGCTCAAAAAGTGGGAGTGTCCAAAGCCTTATAAACTCCACATTAGTTGCACATCTAACCAATGTGGGACTATATATCTCAACACGCCACCTCACGCAAAAGCCCTTTGGGCTAGAAGGGTGGAATTGCACAGGGCAATTTTCAATTTTTGGTTTACCTTTTTTGTGCTTTTTTTTAATTCCACTTGAAAGTGGGAGGCGGTGAGAGCTCAAGCTCTGATACCATGTAAAGAACCTTGGGATACACCACCCAAAAGCTAGCTCAAAGGGTGGGAGTGTCCAAGGCCTTATAAATTCCACATTAGTTGCACATCTAACCAATATAAGACTATATATCTCAACATAAATAAAACAATCAGTGTGGAAAATCATACATGCGTCATATAATCCCTCTATGCTGAGGAATCAAGCTGAGACAGATCAACATGTCATTCTACATACCATCAATCAACATTAAAAATTTGAAATCCAAACGACATAAAACTATCAAGCACAAACTCGACATCAACCAAACTTCCACAACCAGTTTTACACGCTAGGAAGGTGGCAAACTGATAAAACTTAAGGGACAATTGGGTTGTGAAAATTATTCAATTTTGATAATCACACTGCTAGAACTTCAATACGCAAATTTTAAAACAGATATGAATACAAATCCATTAGTCAACACATTAAATACCTACCACTCAGCATGAAACTAAGAATGACAAATTGACAATAACACAAGTTAATTTATACAATAATCTAAGCACGACATATGAGCTTTTGGAAGTTCCCAGCTTCTCCTAAACACACTAATGCTCTCTTTTTTAAAGTCTCACGTGGCTCCAATTACACACACTAGCTAGTATTTATCTAACATCATCCTTAAAAATGTTCACACGCGCATGCGAAAAAGGAAAAAGAAAAAAAAAATCTCAGCAGGTCTAAGGCAAAGCAAATATGAAAAAAAAAAAGAAAAAAAAAAACTCAACAGCTATACGCGGAAAGAGAAAAATAAAATTATTTCTACAAGCACAATCAATAACAAAACATGGCAACTTACACAATAAAAAAAAAAAATCATCTTTTGCGGAAAAAAATTGTAAAAGTAATAGAATGCATACCCCCTGAATCCTCTTTCCAGTAACGGGGCATTTGGGTCCACTGGCCCTCTTCTTAGTGGTCTGATAAACGAGCTTCCCACCTGCATTTCCATAACACCAAACACAAACACATTAGAATCGAACGAGATCGCAAGTTGAATTGAATTGCTTCAATCAGAAACTTCATTAAACAGCGCGATTCGCGTGTGTGAGAGTGATGAGATTACCAGGGGTCTTGACAACCCTGTGCTGGTTGGATTTGGTGGCATAGCTATGCCGCTTGCGATAGGTGAGACGCTGCACCATCTTCGATCACGCTCCGCGTCTGCGTCTACTCTACTAGGGTTTTCAGAGGAACCAACGTTTGCGCCGCAGCGAGGTATTAAAGGATGATTTGCTGCCTTTTGATACCCTAGATCTAACGGCTCTAAAGACGTACTCATCTCTGACCGTTCGATGGCAGTTGGTGTACCTTGAAAGTTGAAAAGGGAAAATTTGAATCTGTGCTATACTAGGTAAAAATATATTAACATGGATCTGGTAGATGCAAAAATTCAAAAATAGAATTTAATAATTTAGAGATAAGTAGGAAAAATTGAAAGTTCTTTTTTTTAAAAAAAAAAATCACAAAGCATTGTTGTGGTAATAACTCAATTTAAACTCAATGGTTATGGTTAATGGGTATTTGCAATGATAAGATTTGAATTCATAGAGACAACATCAATACCGCAAATAAAGATTAATCTCATACTCAAAATAAAGTGTTTTAAGTAATCGACTCGGTCAATTTACTTCCATCACTAAATCATTGGAAAACTTAACATTTTGATTTGGCTAATTTTTAGGATTGTGTGTCAACTCATAGTCAAGAATAATATGTTACGCTAAATTTTGATTAGATTAACTTGAACATAATATACTTCAAGTCTAAAGAATAAAATAAAATTAGATCTGTTGAACAAACAAAAGACAATAATGAGATATTTATGGTAATATCTTTGTACACAACAGCATCTTAAAGCATGTCTAATTGAAGCAATTTTGAAACATACATGTAAGGGTTTTGTTTTTCTCGTTTCACATGAGAAAATAAACTTTTTTACACACACATGTTTAAGATAGGTGAAGGGTATCAGATCTAAGTTCAAGAGAAGAAAGGAGAAAAACGTGTGAAGAAAAGAGAATTTGAGTAGAGAGAAACAAATTTGTCCAATCTTTTCTCATTTTCTATTCACGCCCCTCATGGGCTTAATAACCGTTTTTCTATAAACAATTTAATATTTTCTAATTACAATCATCTCCTCGGCTTTTCTTAAAAGTAAGGCTAAAGTTAAACAACTTTTCATTGAAAATAATCCCTTAGATGGACGGGCCTCCTAGTGATACGTTTGGGCCTATCTCCCATTGGCCCAGAAGGCAGGGTTGCAACATCCCCTTCCCCTTCAAGTTGAGCCTCGTCCGCGACGGTCATGGGCCCATTGGGGATTGAGTCTAAGGGGTGGGCTGGAAGGTACTTGTCAGCAGCTTGTGGTTGAACGCAGCTGGCAACCACTTCCTCGGCATTGGGACAAGAGGAAACAGGGACAGCAGGCGTTGTCCCATCGAGGTCCTGGAGCTCCTGTGTAACGTGTGCAGATGGTAAAGGGTTTTCTTTTTCAAGAGTACCCTCAAGAAGGAGAGGTTCATCCTCCCACGTCGCAGCATCCAGTGGCAACTTGAGCCACTGAACCAACACCTGTGGGATTTCCTTGCCGCGTCGCCAGATCGTCCGACGAGATACAACAGCGGCGGGTTTATGGATGGGTGGGACTGGGGGAACGTTCGTTGAGAAGCTATGAGTCTGATGTTGTCCGGACGAAACAAAAGTCTGCAAAAGGGAAATGTGAAAAATAGGGTGCACACGCAATCCCTCTGGAAGCTGGAGACGGTAAGCAACGTTACCAATACATTCCCGGATCTCAAAAGGCCCAAAGAAATGGAGACTGAGTTTATGGGAAGAGCGGCGGTGGATGGTCAACTGGCGGTAGGGCTGAAGACGTAAGAGGACCAGATCGCTGACTTTAAAGGTAAGAGCTTTATGTTTCCGATCGGCATAATGCTTCATCAAGACTTGTGCTTTTCTCAAATTTTGTTTCAATGTGGCAAGGATCGAGGATCGCTGTTGGAGTTCTGAATCCACGGCTGCAACAGTGGTGGTGCCTAAAGAGTATTTGAGCAAGCAAGGAGGAACGCGTCTATACGTGGCCTGAAACGGAGAGAACCCTAAGGATCGGTTATGGGTCGTATTCTAATGATACTCTGCCCAACTCAAGTAGCGAAACCATGCAGAAGGATGTTCATGAACAAAACAGCGAAGGTACTGTTCTAAACTGAGGTTTACTCTCTCTGTTTGGCCGTCCGTTTGTGGGTGGTAAGCAGAGCTAAACTTGAGTTGTGTCCCTTGTAACTTGAAGAGGGCCTGCCAAAAATTACTGATAAAGATAGGGTCTCTGTCGGAAACAATAGATTTTGGTGGTCCATGTAATTTGCCAATATTATCCTAGAACACCTGTGCAATCTTGCTCGCCGTGTATTTAGGAGTCAGGGCCACAAAACGAGCCCCTTTAGTGAGCCTATCCACCACTACCATAATATCTGTAAACCCTCCTGAATTAGGTAAATGGGTAATAAAATCCATTGACAATTCGGACCAGATGGTGTCAGGAATAGGAAGCGGTTGAAGAAGACCGTAAGGGTAGTGATTGGGTGATTTAGTTTTCTGACACACTTCAAAGCCACGAATATATTGCTGAACATCTTTTTTGATACTTGGCCAGGTGAAAGAAGCAGTCAATCTAAGAAGTGTGTGGTGGACCCTTGCGTGACCTCGCACCTTGGAAGAATGGAATTCATGAAGGAGAGCTGGAATCAAGGAAGAGCCCGCAGGAATAAATAAGCGGTGGCGATGAAATAGGAAGCCATTTTTCTCCTGCCAGTGTGGCCAATTAGAAGGAGCACATTGTAACTGTTGTAAAATTTTATTTGCATAGGTATCTTTTGTAATTCAGACCTAAGTATTGAGTTGTATTGGGACTTAGGGCCATTAATGGCCATTAGAGCAGGGGATGGAGAAACCGCAATCCACTCTGGTTGACGCGATAATGCGTCCACGGTCACATTGGACTTTCCTATCTTGTACTGGATCACAAAATGGAACCCCAACAACTTTGCAAGAAATTGTTGTTGATCAGGGGTTTGGATCACTTGAGTCATCAAATGATGGAGGCTTTTATGGTCTGTTTTGATGACAAAAGTAGTTCCAAGCAAGTATTGTCGCCACTTTGACACTGCCAAAGTGATGGCATACATCTCCCGTATGTAAGTGGACTTAGCTTGCATCTGCTTGGATAATTTACGACTAAAAAATGTGATTGGATGCTCCAATTGGAGTAACACGCACCCACCCCCACACCAGAGGCGTCCGTCTCTAAAACAAACAGAATGTTAAAATTAGGTAAGGCCAAGATGAGAGCAGTTGTTAATAGTTGCTTAAGGGTAGTAAAGGTCTGTTCTGCTGCTGAGTTCCAGGCAAAAGCATCCTTAGAAAGTAAATCAGTGAGAGGGGCAGCAACAATAGTGTAACCCTTAATAAATCTACGATAGTAACCCTTAATAAATCTGCACAACATCCACCTTAGATGGATCGGGTGAGACCCCCATGGCAGATATAATGTGACCAAGGAAGTGAATAGAGGAAACTGCAAAAGAACACTTTGTTAGTTTAGCAAAAAACTGATGTTGACGTAAAGTTTGCAACACTTGTACCACGTGGCCTGCGTGTTCCAGAAGCGACGGACTATAAATAAGGATATCATCAAAGAAAATGACGACAAACCGTTGTGAGAAACTGCTGAAAACATGATTCATAGTCGCCTGGAAAGTTGCCGGTGCATTAGACAACCCAAATGGAAGGACCAGAAATTCAAAATGACCATTGTGGGTGCGAAAAACAGTTTCATGCACATCGTGGAGGTGCATCTTGATCTGGTGGTACCCAGACCGCAAATCTAGCTTTGAAAATATCTGAGCGCTATGCAGCTCATCTAGGAGTTCATCCACTGTGGGGATAGGAAATTTATCTAGCACTGTAATGGTGTTAAGGGCATGGTAATCAACACAGAACCGCCATGTGTCGTCTTTCTTACGCACCAGAAGAACAGGGGAACTGAAGGTCAATTGACTGGGTTGAATTAAGCCGGTCTCTAACATTTCGGCTACCAAACGTTCAATCTCTGTCTTTTGGAAGTGAGGGTAGCGGTAAGGACGGACTTGGATTGGTTTGGAGTTAGGAAGTAAGTGAATATGATGGTTAAAAGGTCGGTAAGGGGGCAAGGATGTAGGGGTGATGAAGACATCAGGGAAATGGTTTAAAATATGTTGGATTTGGGGCAGTGGTTGGGGCGGTGATATGGATAAGGTGGTATCGGAAATAGTGCTGGAAAAACACATAAAGTAAGATGAGATAGAATCTTGGGCCACTAATTTATGAAGTTGGGCATTAGTGAGTGCAGTTGGGATGTTGGTTTCATCCCTGTGCAAGCTAACAATAACACCATTGAGGGTAAAAGACATAGTCAAACAGCCATAATCGGTGATTATTGGATCCAACGAGGATAGCCATTGAATACCCAGGACGACGTCAGCCCCTTTAAGGTTCAAAACAAACAGGTCAGCCCCAAAGGTATGCGACTGAAGCATCAATTGGACCCCCTGACATGAGGCAATACAAGGAAAAGCCTCACCATTACCAACTTGGACCTGAAATGGAGGAATGTGATGTAGAGTTAAACCAATGAAAGAAGCCATTCGTGCCGTAATAAAGTTGTGGGTACTACCCCCATCAACTAAAACCTGAACCCCTTTGCCCAGTATGGAACCCTGGAGACGGAAGGAACGTGAGCTGTAATGTCCAAAAAGAGCATTAAAATAGATGGCAGGAGTAGGCTCACTAGGTGGTGGATCTTCCTCAGGTAAAAGAGATGGTGGTTCGGATTCATCCTCAGTGCCTTCAAAATACAACAAGGTAGCACTGCCTTTACATTTGTATCCAAAAGAGTAGGGTTCGTCACATGTGTAACACAAATTCTTTTCCCGTTTCAGTTGCATTTTAGCTGGGGATAATCTTCGAATGGGTAAAGCAGAAATGGGTTTTGTGGTGGTTGAAACAATAGTGGTAGGTGGTGGTGCGGACGGAGCGGCAAGGTGTTTGGCAGAGGACTGCCAAGGTCTAGAGGAACGAAACTCCATAGATTGGTCTTCATATACTCGTGCCAAAGAAAAAGCCTCGTGATAGTCATGTGGCCTATGAGTCAAAACAGAACGTCGGATCTAGGATTTTAACCCCGAAATAAAAATGTTGCGTAGTAAGGTAGAAGAGAGGCCAGGAACCTTACTCACAAGTTTTTCAAAATTAGATTGATAGTCTAACACGGATCCAGTTTGATGAATTTTTACGAAAGCACCAGCTGGGTCTTCGAATTCCGATTGTCCAAACCGACGGTGCAGGGCGACACAAAACGTCCTCCAATCCGACAATAAACCATTCTGACCAGAGCCAGTAAACCAACTGGTCGCAGGTTCATCCAAGTAGAAGGCAGCTAGATTTAAGCGATCAAGTAAAGGTACCTGATAAAATGCAAAGTAGCGGTCGACAGCGATAATCCAAGTTGTGGGGTCACCGGAGTGGAAACGAGGATAGTCTAACTTGACCTGACGAGAACCTGTATGGGGAGCAGCTCCTAAATCCATGTGCAGGATTGGAACCACCCGGAGAATGCTGCTGCAATTCCAGTATTCGGGTCAGATCTTGCTAAGAATGGAGTTGGGACTCTTGCATCTGTTGCTGACATGCTGTGATGCCAGCAGCTGCGAGCGAGAATCTTGCAGGTCCAATTATTGTTGCGCACTGACTAATTCAGCAGCGTGAAATTGCTGCTCTAAGGTTTCCAAACGCTGATGGAGTTCTCGCATTCTGGTGTTATCCGCCATGAATAAACGGGAAGAAGAGGTTAGATGAAAGCACCAATGAAGGGTATCAGATCTAAGTTCAAGAGAAGAAGGGAGAAAAACGTGTGAAGGAGAGAGAATTTGAGTAGAGAGAGAAACAAATTTGTCCAATCTTTTCTCATTTTCTATTCACGCCCCTCATGGGCTTAATAACCGTTTTTTTAAACAATTTAGTATTTTCTAATTACAATCATCTCCTCGGCTTTTCTTAAAAGTAAGGCTAAAGTTAAACAACTCTTCATTGAAAATAATCCCTTAGATGGACGGGCCTCCTAGCAATAGCGGACCTAGAATATTTTTTTAATGTCTGCACACTTAGAATAAAAGAATAAAGGAAAAAAATTGAAGAAAATTTTAAATATATTAAAATACAAAAGAATATATATAAAAAAAACTTTAACTTAATATAAAAAAAGTAATCAAGAGTCAACTAAACTGTTACAATAGAATATTTTGGATCCTCAACAAAAATTACGGGCCTCAATTTAATCTCTTAGGGGAAAAAAAGTCTACTCGTGATCTCTCAGAATTCAAAAATAGACCTAGATAATCAAAATCATGGTCCTCTGAAATTCAAAAAGACCTACATTAATCCCTCAAAAGGACTAACATGGGTCTATTTTAAATTTTAAAGGGATCACGAGTCGACTTTTTTTTAAGGATTAAATTGGATCCTGTAATTTTTGTTCATAACCCAAAATATAAATTTTTTTTTTCTTCAAAAAATTTGTGTGTGCACTTGCACACACTAAAACATACACAGGTCCGCCACTGCCTCCTAGTGATACGTTTAGGCCTATCTCCCATTGGCCCAGAAGGCAGGGTTGCAACAATAGGTCCCACCATTAAGAAATTAAAATAATAATAAAATACACATATCAATGTATGAGTGACATGATAAATACTTTCTCCAACAACATGAGAAAGTATTCCCCCTACATATAATAGTGCTAACATTAAAATAATAAAACATATTTAAAAGGAAAAAATAGTATTAAAATATAAAATTATATAGTAATTGAAGCATACTTTAGCACACTACACATTAGATGTCTTCGTCATTGTCATTAACACTTTAAAGAGACAACAAATGTGTCCCAACAAATATAAAATGGTTAATTGTAGTAATTTGATGCCTTAAATCCAACTGCGCTAAAACATGTTCATCATGATTGTAGATGACCATTCTCCTGACTTGGTTATAACTTGAGATTTTGATTGGATTTTAGGGCCCATCTTAATCTTGGACTCGAGAAGACTCGATCATGGTAGAGTATAATGTTATATTGAATTCATACAAACCCAGGTAAAAATATATCAACCATAAGTAAGAAACAATTTATTTAAAGTGCCTTATTATTCCATATTACTAATAATAATACAATAGGTGAGAAATAATAGAATTGAAATTTATATTATCAAATTAGTTCATTCATATAGTCATCACATAATGATAATTGATAATAGTATTATGATAAAATATATTTATTATAAATTTTTATTTAAATTGATTAATCAATTGGAAGAGATCCCAATAATAATTGTTGGAATTAAAATTATATTAACATCAAGTTAGGCCAGGTTTACTTGTAAAATATTTGAACCTTTGGTCTGCTAATCTTTTTGTGCAAAAAATTGAACCTAATTCTGGCTTGTTAAAGTACGATTAAAATTTTTACCAAAAAAAAAAGTACGATTAAAATAATTTTAAATTATTAATTTATAAAATTTATCATATTCTTAACTTAGACAAGAAACTTTTTTTAATAAAAATATATATATTAATTATGCGTTGGATAATTAGGATGTTAAAAAATCATAAGTATGTAAATCCAAATCACACAGAAAAGTGCTATTTACAACAACGCAAGTTAGAATAATAGCATATTTTTCTACAATTAAAAAAAAAACCCTAAACTTTACAAGTTACAGTATAGATTAATAGTAAAAGTATCATTAAATATTTTAAATATAATTATTTCTAAAAAACAATATAAATATTTTAACATATAGTTTTCTAGCATTCAATAATGCAAGCTAAACTAACTCAAATATAGGCAAAGATACACTAATTAGCTTGTACATCATTCCCAGGATTTCAGATATGCTGTATAGGCTATACAGCAAATTATGTGCCAAATTTGTAAATAACATGAACAAATAATGCATAGGAGACGTGGCCAAACTTATACTCAGCACTAGTATAATGCGGAAACAAATTTGACACCAAAACTTTGCATAAGCTTACAATTTATTAGACAACCATGATGTATTAGCAAGAAGCTTATACATAGATTATATATATACAGTGAGAATTTTTGTGCCATCAGTCCAATTTCTATTTAAGCTAGTATATCATTTTCTGTGAAAATGTATCTCTACATATGAGAAGAAATGCCCGTGGATGAGTCAACATGGAAAGAGCAAAAAAGAAGGTTCCACCTGGACGATTTTCCTGCTCAAAAATTTGATTCTGTGTAACTTTTCATGACACCATATTAGCTGTTCTTTTCTCAATTTTGACATGTTTACCACCCTTGAAATCAATCTCAACCCAACCTGAGCTACCAACTGTTCATGATCAAGTGGATCCTCATGGTGCTTTTGGAACTTCTTTACTATGCAATTCCCAGTTCTCACTATGTCCTTGAGCTTTCTCTCCTTCTGCAACATGCAACCCCAAGATTGTAGGAAATAAAAGTGTCAAGTGTATACAGAAATGTTAGTTTTAGTAGAAACCATACCTTCTGTAGTTGTGTTCTAATGTCTACTAGAAGACCTGAAACTTCAGGGTCTTTGAGACCAGTTCCAATTTGATGAGAAACTTTAAGGATCACATTCCCATAATCTTTATCTGCTTTAACAAATTCCCAGAACACCCTCATTGATTCCTTGATGATGTCTGCTAACATTCCGCTTGCAATAGGGTGCTCCTCATCCCCTTTACCATCATCTGTGAAGCAGTCACAACAAAAATTAGCATCTCACTCGAGGTTGCACTGTGTAAAAGAACTGAATTATGGTTCATTTTGTCACCTTTAATGGCTGGAACTTGGAGCAGGTTGCGAATCACACATCGGTTCTTGACATAGTTCTGAATCCTGGGGCCTTGAAATGGCTCATTCTCTATGAATCTCTGCACTAAGACTTGAAAAAGTTGAAACTCATCAGCAACAAGGTTATACCTATGAGACCCTTGTGAATCATATTGTTGTAACTCATGAGCTTTCTTGTGTTGCCAACATAGGATTTCCCATGAGAGGCAAACCTGCCCAACATATACCAATTCCAAATCTCTATGCAGTTCATGAACAAGCTTTAGTAGTGGGTTAGATGTGTTCTTTGAAGCTTTGCGTGACCACAAATTCTGAGAGATTACAGGCTTAGCACCTGAGATGGTGGGTTTTGGTATTGAAATTAACTTAAGAGGGTCTTTAAGTTGAAGAAGACCTACAATTGATGGCAAAGTAGATTAGTCATAATTAAAGACATGATCATTGCTAAATAAATAAGTTTTCTTTGCTTAGAGTATAATATTAGAAACCGAACCCAGTCAAAAATCAAAAGTAATATTGGAGGTTCCTTCATCTTTATTGAATGCTTTATACTCTAGAAAAAAGGAGAACAATCACAGTCACAGATATTTTAATGTGTAGAGTAGACCTATGAAAATAGGAAAAGGATTGCTAGAGAATGGAATTGAAATTTATGATGAAGACTTGTCACTATCTCTGGTGTTATTATTAGCAAAATAAAAAGATATGAATAGCTTTATGTACACATTATTAGCAAAATATGATGGGTGTAAGATAGATAATGGCCCACCATGACAAGATCGTATCCAAGAGTTGTCTCTAAAAAAAATATTTTCAAACTGAATAAAAATGACAAGAATTTATCAAGAAAAAATATTGTGTGAGAAAAGATCATGAAATTAGGCCAGGAAAAACTTCAATCTGCAGTTTTTGGAAGTGTGAAAAATAGAACTTTGGATTAATCATCTGTGATCAATATAGTGAAGACTCTTAAGACTTCAGTTTACCAACAACAATGAAATTGTCCAAATCTGATATGTTCCACTGCAAGAGTTTAACATAGAAATGAATTTAGCTCTCACCTAATGCATGCATGATCTGGTAATTCATGATATCAAGTTTCCGCATTTTCTCTGCATAGCTCTTGTAAACCTTTTCAATTTCATCAATATGATCTTTGTACTCGAGCTTCTCTTCAATTTTCAGTGGCTTTAGATCTTCAGCTACTTTTGTGGGCTCTGTTTGCTCCTCCTCTTCCTCCTCCTCCTCTTCTTCTTCTTCTAAAATTGTGGCAAGTCCTCCTTGCCTTGCATTTTTCAATTCCAATTTCAACTGTTCTACTAAATCATCATGCTCCCATTCAAAGTCATCCTCATCTTGCTCATCAGACTCTAATACACTCAATTCCTCTTCTTCATGGTGTGAACCTTCTTTTTGATCTTTGACCACAGGTTTGATAGAGTCTATACCACCAAAACCATGCACATTCAAAAACTTCAAATCCTTCATGCCCGGTTCCATTTCTATATACCCATCTTCAGAATAAATGCCATGAACTTTAAATTCTGAAACTTTTCTATCACACGAAGATTGTTTTTCCTCCACATCTTCTGTTCTTTCCTCTCTCATCATCAGCTTCAAAATCTCAGATTCAAATCCTTCACCGCCACTTTTACCACCCAGAAACTGATATGTAATTGAATCATCGATTTTGTTACTGTTTCCCCAGATTAGACCACTTGAGCAAGATGATTCTGACTCTGAATCAGATGTCACTGAATTTTCATTGAAAAGAAAATAATCTTCATCAGATGAATCAGTTCCACCAAACGCCTCACTCTCAAAGCGAAATGGAATATCGCTAGAAGGCATAGTAACATCTTCTAGAACAAATTCCTCTCTTTCTTCTCCAGCTACAGGGTATTTCTCCGAATCAAGCACTGAAATTTCCTTGTCGGCAATAATTTCAGTGTCGTCGGCATATGAATTATCAGAAACATGTGAAACATCTGGACTCATATAAAAATCTCGAAAACTGAACCTCAATGTTGTTGGTTCTTCTATGAACCCACTGATATCTTTTCCTATCAAGTACTGACACTTATTAGTGTTTGTTACTGATTCAGTTTCCACAAAAACTGAACCCTCTTTTTCTTCTTCTTCTTCCTTTTCTTCTTCTTCTCTCTCCTTACTATCATGATGAACATAATTAGACTTCTCATCCTTGAAAACAGAGCTCTCTGTTTCATTTTCCTCTATTATCTTACCATCTTCATGAACATTAGAGTCAGTTTCCATGGAAACAAACCCCTCTGTTTCTCCTTCACTTTCCTTACCATCTTCATGAATAAGATATTCAACAGAGTCACTCTCCATTAAAACAGATCCATCTTCTTCTGTTCCTCTATCCGTACTATCTTCATGAATGTTAGACTCAATCTCCTTCGTAACAGAGCTCTCTGTTTCTTCTCTTTCTTCACTCCAAAATAGGAAATTAGCCAGCTCTTCTCCGAACCCATCAATCTTAGAATCATGAAACTGGTTCCTCTCGGTTCCATCAGCTTGTAGTTGTGTCGGAACAGTGAGCTCGTTTGATGCATCACCTAATTGAAGAAACCTGAAAGAAAACAAACAAAGCATTAGTATTTTCCATGCATTCATATAAACACCACAAAACACCACCAAATTTCAACAAACCTGAAGATGTATCTGAGTATCAATCCAAATGAATAGAGAACATAATTGGAGATGAAAACCCGCAAAGAACCAAAGGCCCACAACATGTTAACAAAATCATTCATAAATCATGCGTTGATGATGGAATCAATGTAGGTTTTAAAGCATAAAAAGGCTCTTGGGAAGATTTTGATTTTATGTGGAAACATTCATTGATGAACAGTGGAGTGGACTCTTCCCACTAGCAGATAGCGAAATCCGTGAGATGTAGAAAATAATTTATTTTTGAACCTGAAGAGCGAGATTGTGGGAGAAGATTGTGCACATATGTACAAGGAAAAAAAGGACAACCTGCGAATTTTGGACAAAAAAATATGATAATTTGATTTCATTTGGTTTCGTTGTATCAGCAGTTAGTAGTAGTTTCCTTTAACAGTTCGTGGGGTGACACGTGGCATGGTATTCTGCTTGACACGTTTCAGAGAGTTGAAGTGGACTCTGTGTCTGTACTTGCCTTTAATTAAGGCAGTGTTTTGAGCCTTATTTGTTCACTTAACTTGGAATTTGTGAGTGCTGCTCGGATTCAGTGGGTCAATGTCTTGGAAGCTTAGCAACTCCTAAAGTTTCTCTTCTTTGGGTTGGTAGGGACAAGAAGAATAAGAATTTTTATTTTTATTTTGAGTAAATACCTTTTTTAGTCCCTGAAAATATCTACGAAGTTCTTTTCAGTCTCTGGCAATAAAAAAGAACCAAATTGGTCCCTGAAAGTACAAGAAAAGGGCCACTCTACATATTTGGGAGTTGACATAAGGACTAACATAACCCTTTTTTTATAATTTCAGGGACCAATTTGGTCCTTTTTTATTGCCAGGGACTAAAAAGGACTTCGTAGATATTGACAGGGACTAAAAAGATTGTTTACTCTTTTATTTTTAATTTTAATCTAGGTCCAAAATCTGCTCCACTCTACCACTGATTTATGGTCAAGAAACCAACCCTACCTGCTAGGAGAAAAGGATGAATGATGAAAAAATGTAAGAAGAAAGATGTTAAATCAATATGTGGAGCACTCTTCGCACATATATTTATCTAAATAAGAAGAAAACTTTTTTTAAGTTTGCTCATTGATTAAATGAGTTGATAAATCAATCCAAAATGTATGTAAATGTGTGCTTTTGTTGAGGACAAAACATAGACGACTCTATATATTCATGATCATAGTGACTAACTATAACCCGAACAATATGAAGATTTGGAGTCTAGCATAATGTCTACAAATAGAAAAAGGTTAGCTTCAAACTTCAATAACGAAGATGGGGTATGTTGTTTTGTTTTATAAACCAAGTTACCAAGACTCAAGAAAAATAAGACATTAAGGGTATTTGTATTTTTAAACGTATAGATGAAATATTTTTCTTATCTAGGAGAAGGAGAAAATTAGTTTATTATTGTTAATTTGGGCAAAAATATCGTTGTCAATTTCTTATATTTAATTACAGACAAAGGCTATTTCGCTGTGGACGTGACTCTGCACTGGTTAATATATAGCCGCTCTTTGTGGCGTCACCAAGAAAGATGGCATATAATAACTTTCTGAAACGCCTATACTACCTTATTATAACATACACTTCAACTACGCCATATCTCTTTGTCTAATGTTTTTATTGTGAAGAAAAACTTTAATTGAGAGATTCATAATTATAGATTCTTCTTGATGTGAATGTGTGTATGTGGTGATAAAAACAGAGCCACTTGGAAATAATTTAGGGTTCATAGTCAATTTATGGCATGATTCATATTCACTATTCAGTGCAAGTCGGTTCTCATCATCTTCTGGAGTTTGGACGGCATTTTTTGGCAGGTGGTGCGTGTCATTTTCAGTGCATCAAAACACGTTAATGGCTTTAACAATCATGTAATTTATGAAAAACATGACTTAGTGGTCAGCAAGCCTGTTATGGCAGAGGAAGATATAAGTGGAAATGAATTATCTAACCAATCTAGACTTTAAGTTTAATTTTTTATTATTATTTTTGTCATTATTATTATTATAAAGTTTTTTACTGACTTGAATTGGAAGTTTAACATTTCTATTAATATTCTTACCTAATTAATTTCACAGTACCTTTTCCTATCTTATGATGAGACAATCATGTTTGTTTTTTTTTTCAATGTAAAATAACTTTGTTCAATAGTCTCAAACGAATTTTTTTCTCCCCCACTACTCCTTTCTTTACCCCTAATCCCATCCTTATACCAATAACGGAAAAATAAAAATATAAAAATAAAACGCGTTTTTATTAATCTTGTAAGAATTGAATTTGTGATAAACTCATCTTTATTATTGTTGATATAATACTGGGTTTGTTTTTTCTGCAGTTATTACATAGTTATTCTAATACGATGTCGTTTGGTCTGAAGAGATATAAGATTTTGGGCAAGGTACCAAAACTAGGGGACTAATGCTGCCGACTCCAATAGTGACCATAGCGCCATTAGCTGAGATCTGAACGTGTTTTAGGGAGGTTCATGACTCACATGAGACATGAAGTCAATGGAAGAACGACAGGGTTTGGCTGAATAACACTTTTAAAAGGAAAAATATGTTACAATTATGTGACCTTTTCTTTTTCTTTTTCTTTTTCTTTTCCCATGTCTTGTGCAGCTTTAAATTGGAAAGAAAATATTTTTCAAACTCTGAGGAGTGGTTGACAGGTAAAGCAGACTAATAGCAATTCAATCCATGAGGTCTTAAAACGCGTAAAGGAAAATAAAGGAGACCGTTTGTTGCAAAAACCTCATTAGTCATAAGGTATTGTAGATCTAAAGAAAGAACAAGAAGAAAATTCATAAGGCCACACGAGGATGGTATTGCCGAAAACCTCTTGATAGGCTTAACATAAAGCATATCCAAAGACATAGATTCTAGACTGAGTTAAACCGAATTACATTCTAGGCAATGTTTCAAGTAAAATCCTGGGCCAGCCCAACCCAGTGTTCCATATGGTAATGAGAGGGTCTCAAACTGACCCAAAATTAAAAGTAAACTGTGTTTTATGAATGCTGAGACATTCTCATATGGACAATGGTGCGTGTGATTCTAAAGTGTAAACCCTAAATGTTAAGAGGGTGTTTGGTATGGCTATTTATTTGATATGGAATGATCGGAAAGTGGGGTGGAGAATATTTAATGACCATGTTTATGGGTATTGGGAAAAAAATCTCAGCAAATAATTTTCCCAGGTATTTCCTTTTTCAACTACACAAAGGCAAATAATTATCCCACTGATCCTTTGGTATTTTTTTTTTTTGCCTAGGGTCTTAGATTCTGAATATAATATGTTGAGTCAAATAATTATCCCATCAATATTTTATCATCAACTAAACATAACATAAGTAAAATGAACCCAATTTTTCCAACAAAATTTTGGCCAACCAAACACTTTTTCGTAACTTATCCGAGATAAAAAAATTATTACCAAATCCTCAATTATCTTTTTTTTCCAGATTAAAAAAAATATCTCTCGTAACACACGCCCCAAAATGTTGTTACAAGTTTTTTCTGATAGTTTGATTATAAATTTTCCTAAACACCGAAAAAGAGTTTCATATCATTTTAGATTGCTTAGAGCCTTTAGTATCGCTCACAATTAGTTTGAAATGGTAATTTTTATATTTAAAGAGTACTATAATTATTAAATTGAAATTTTTTTGTTCCTAAATTGAAAATTTAAATAAATATATGAGTGGCATAAATAAATTTTTTTGATCCAACTACTTTATAAAGGGTATTTTAGTGAAATCAGAAAGAATTACTTAATAAGTAAAAAATACAATAGACAAATAAAAGTAAAAATAAATACTCTTGAGTTAACAATTTAATTAAAAAAATATGAAAGAGGACAAAAAATAAAAATTAAAGATTTAATTTTCCACTAAGAATAAATTAGTTCAATTGAAAGCAATGTTAATAAAACCGGACCGACCCGGCCGGGTCAACACGGGAACCGGTCATATAATCGGTACGGTTGAAGCAACGGACCGACCATGCATCAGAAACGGTGTGACTCGGTGCGACCCGACCGATTTTTATGAAACCGGTGACCCGATGACCCGGACCGGTCCAAAAAAAAAAACTCCTAAATTTTTTTTCAAAGAAAATCATAATGGACATATTTGAATATTTTTTTGCTTATTGACTTACGTAAGTTATGTACCTACAACACTAATATTATCTCAATTATGCATTATGCAAAAAAATTTGATTTGATTTATAGTTAGAGATACGTTTACTAAACCTGAAGCCCTGTATCACGATCATTATATTTTTGTTTGATCCTTTATTGGATAATAATATGTAATTTATTATTTTTTATATTAAAATATTTGAAACTTTCATCATTTTTTTTAAATATTTGAGTATGTTTATAATTTTTTAATATAAATTATAAAATTACATATAATTTACTGGGTTATGCAATTAAATCAGTGACCCAATAACCCAGTACCTCGATCGAGTCAATGAGCCAATTTTAATAACTTTGATTGAAAGGATCCATCAGTGTGACAAGTTGATTCAATAGTGTTTATGAATTGAGGATTGAGGCATCCTCACGTGGATAACAGGGTGCATGATTTTAACATATTTTATTAGCTTTTTTTTGGTGAAAATATTTTATTAGCTTTTGTACTAGATTTACAATGTAATTTCATACACGGATCTAAGTAGAAGGAACACTCTCACACGAAAACAATTCATATGAATTTGGATCACTTGAATTGCCAGTGAGTCAATGATTACATAGAAAGAAAGAAAGAAAGAAAATATAAAATTAAATAATTAACGGTTAACCTATTTAAGAAAGGATCTGGATCCACGAGTGTGTTTATTTTTGGCTCATTTTTCAAGTGTTTAATAGTCCTAAATGTTTAAACCAAATATACCGCACCATATCTCTGTATTCTATATGAATTCAGTTTTTTTCTTGTTTGATATGGAAAAACAATAAAATTATTCAACGATTATTCTTAACTTCTTAACAAAACTAAATGAATTATATAACGCATGTTTATTATTATTATTCATTTTGTTTTGTTAAGAAGTTAGGAATAATCGTTGAATGATTATTTTTTTCCATATCATCTGTGTATGTTTTTCATTAGCTGTTATTATTCTTTTATTTCATATCAGTTTCGTGAAGGAAATAAGATAAATTGTATTCTTAAATAAATTAAACATTTGAAACATGAATAAGCATTTCATTTTAAATAATTTTATTCATATTTGAACTTGTATTTCAATTCCAAAAACAACCCGTTTGTATCCCAAGAAACACACTTTGGATTATTCCTTCAACAGGCCCCCCCAC